CTGTCAAAGCTCTTATTGGAGAAAAAAAAAGCAGAAATATAATGTTTGTGTGTCTCTCGCTGAGGTCATCACCCATCTCACAGTATGAACAAACTCAAATGAGTCACAACAGAAATTTGTCACTCACACAACACACTGAGTCATTGTGTGAACACTGAGATGATGTAATGGGTAATATCTGACTTCATATATGCGGAGCATGGTAAGAGGATGTTTTATATGAATGATATAAGTTAGTCATAATCAGAGGCGGACAAAGTACACAACTCCATTACTTGAGTGAAAGTACAGATACTGCTGGTCAAATATTACTCCATTACAAGTAAAAGTTGTAAAAACAGATTTTTACTTAAGTAAAAGTACAGAAGTACTTGCTTTTAAAAGTACTTAAGTACCAAAAGTAAATTTCCTTTTTTATGTCAATGCACTGTTTTATTGTTGTACGTAGTACTTGCAATACCTCTGAAGTAACTTACAATACATTACACCTACTGAATACACTGACTAGCTTGTAGTATCTTAATAAAGATATCTTAATATCTGTAATAAAGAGCTTTTAGAATGTTAAAAACCCTAGTGGGAAAAACTAAACAAAACAAAACAAAAAAATTATTATTGAACACCCCTACCCACCCCCACAAAAGCAGGATGGTAGTGATCTCACACAGCTCTGACAGTGTGTGCACACATCTATGTGTAGCCATTCATCCACATTTGAACAGAGTGGACAGTGAAATCCTGTAAATACAGAGTGATAAGGAAGAAAATAATCAAACCTGCTTTAAAACCCAGCAACACAACTGTAGCTGTATAACTTTACAACAGCAACACTGCTTTAACAAAAAAGCAAAACAGCAACATACTTATTTGACATCAAAACCATTTTAAAATGCTGTCTAATCGCTCTCGCTGTACTTCGATGTCATACACAAAATTGTCTGTGCAATGCGAGGGTTCAGATTTGGCCAGGAGTCATCTGAATGGACAGGGATCAGACGCACAGGAAAAGCACTTTAGTTCCACTCATTGCAGTTTTTCCTAACAAATGCACTATTCAGTTCCCTATGAAATGCATTGGAAGCAGGAAGGCTGAACAACAGTGTTTGTTTTCCCTATGTGTGCGCTAGTACAGTGTTCACGTGAGCATAACGGTTAGCAGATCAATGAATGAGAGGGCAGTGTTACCAGAGTTGCCCATATACCACACCATGTTACAGCACAGTAGGGCTATTGCAGACAGAAACAATACTGTACTACATCCATGTTTCCTGTCGGCTTGATTTTGAGTGGACTCTGCTGTTCCGATGAGCATGAATGCAATATGAGTGGAGCGACTGAGCGGAGCGCACACGCATAGAGCGGGATAATACGCAGAGCGTCACACCACGTGAAAGTGAAACCTGTGCGGTGAACTAATTTTCGGCAGTCAAAATTTCGGTGCATCTCTAATTACATCAGAAATTGATATTATATAATAGATGCTTTTCTGAACATTTGAGCAATTTAAAAATATAAAAAAAATTATATTTTTTTTTACACAGCACCCCTGCTCTCGACAGACGGCACCCCCTTTGGGAAACACTGCGCTAGTACACCAGCATTTTTTTAAATAATTTTTTCCCTGGCTCTGATTCAAAGAGATGTGTTTAGGTCAAATCAAAGAGATTGAGGTTTTCCGTTTACTGTGAATTTGGGCTCTGTGACTTGGAGACTCAAGAAATGAAGGTTCAAATTTAAATTTAAAAAACGCCTTATTTTGTCAAATATTTTACCTTTATTGTTAACCGCTGTCTCCATTGTCATTTGAACGGCCGGTTGACTTCCTGTTTCTATGTTTCTATGACTCAGATTGGTTAGCTGGCCCAGTGTGTTGTGATTTGTTAACCGCGTACTGCACATTGTCCGGAAACTTCACGCCCATTACTGTTACGGGCAATAGTTGCATGTGCTCCGGTGGAATGTAAATAATTGTCAATTAGGGCTGTGCAATATATCGAAATATCGCAAATGTACATACCGCAATATGCATATCGCTATGGCTTGCAATATTTGGGGCCATGAACAAAAGACAAAGAGAAAATCACTCACTGCTCTTACCTAAATAACTTTTATAGCTTAAATAAGAATTGGTGCATATTGAATTAATAGAGTAAATACTAAGCAGTGTATTATATATGTAGCAGCTTGTATTTATATTATTCAGTTCCTAAACCATGTTAAAATGATTACACTAATGTTAAAATTACATTTTTATGTAATGCTAGAGTAAAACACTACCGTTCACTTTCAGAAGTTGTTGAAGGGGTGCTTTCTTCTCACAAAAAGTGAAACATGCATGCTAGTTATATTAGAATCAGAATGAGCTTTATTCACCACTTAAGTGTACGCAAACACAATGAATTTGTTGTGGTTTTACAGGCACTCTTGATACATACATACATACATACATACAAATAACCATATATATATGACACAAGATAGTTATAGAAGTTCACAGAACTGACTCAGCAACAGCTGAGTAAAACTGTTTCATCTGAGCATGTGGCACTTTAAGCATTATCGTATCGCATATTGATTATCGCATTATTTAATGAGTTATCGCATATCGCATTTTTCTTCAATAACGCACAGCCCTAGTGTCAATATTGCTGTATCAATTTGAGCCTGAACTAGTCAAATTATGTAGATTTAGCCCTTTTCAGAGACATTCTTGCACAGATTGAGTTATAGTGTATAATGGTATAGTGTATATCATATAAAGTTTGAGGGTGGTATAATTTTTAAATGTTTTTGAAAGAAGTCTCTTATGCTCAACAAGGCTGCATTTATTTGATCGAAAATACAGTAAAAACAGTACTTTTGTGAAATATTACAATTTAAAATGTTTTTATTGTAATTTATTTTAAAATGTAATTTATTCCTGTGATGGCAAATCTGAGTTTTCAGCAGCCATTACTCCAGTCTTCAGTGTCACATGATCCTTCAGAAATCATTCTAATATGCTCATTTGGTGCTCAAGAAACATTTCTGATTATTATCAATATTTGGAAATGGTTTGTTTCCAGATGCTGAATATTTTTGTGGAAACTGTGATGCATTTTTTTTAAGGATTCTTTGATGAATAAAAAGTATAAAAGAACAGCATTTATTTGTAATGGAAAGTTTTTAACATTATAAATTACTTTAATGTCACCTTTTATCAGTTTAAGTCATCCTTGCTAAATAAAAGTATTACTTTCTTTCAAAAAACAAACAAAAAACAATCTTACTGACCTCAAAGTGTTATGATGTACCCGCTTCCTTTTAATGTAACTAGGGATGCATGATATTGGATTTTTGCCGATATGCCGATATTTTTCAACTCTTTTGGCCGATACCGATATATTTCCTTTTGTTTGGAAACAACACCAAGTCTCTCCTGTGTAATTTTGGTTTGCTTTTAACAAGAACTTATTTGTTAGAATTAAATAATAATGAAGTTCTTTTATAATGACATTATAAGTACATTGAAGCTTTGAAAATAACTATAAATAAACTATATATCAATCGCTGCATTTTTTTTCTCAGAAAGATGCAGTAGTAACCTCAACATTTTATTTTAAGTTTTAACATTTTTAGATGGTCTAAAGCAGGGGTGGGCAAACTTGGCCCTTCCAGACCACTTTCCTTCAGAGGTTAGCTCCAACCCTAATCAAACACACCTGAACCAGCTAATCATTGTCTTCAAGACTACTAGAAGGCTACAGGCAGGTGAGTCATATCAGGGTTGGATCAAATCTCTGCAGGAAAGTGGCCTGGAAG